GGGGGGGAGCGGGCGCCGGGCCGGGCCGGGCCGGGGGGGGGCGGTCAGGCCTCGGGGGGCAGCGTCCCGCTCCCGGGGGCGACGCGGAGGGAACCGCCGGAGGGGCCTCCTCCCTTTGGGGACAGGGCGGGAGAGTGCGGCCGGTGTGTCCCGCCGGCGGCGAGCAGGGAACCCGCGGGTGCGCGGAGAGCAGGTGCCCGGCCGCCCGCCGGGGAAGGAGGGGCGCCGGCCGAGCGGTCTCCTGGGAACAGCGCCAGTGCCGCGGAGCTCAGCGCAGGCAGCGAGGTGCCTGTGGAGGGGGGAATCGCTGCTTCTGCCCCCGCAGCGCGACTTCCTGGGCTGACGGCCTGGGCAAAGGGCTGGGCTGCGAGAGGTCTAGGAAGCCGCGGGCGCGGGATTGTGGAATGAGGAAGGAGGCTACCAAATCTTCCTTCCCGCACACCTGTGCTTTGGATTGATACGCGTCTGGTTTCAGTGCAGTTGTTGTCCACCTATACTTGGTTTGTATTTTTTGGTAGAAAAAGCAGGATTTTTTTGATGGGAAGAGTTCCTCTCCAAAGAAATGCTCAAGCATTGGTTTAGGTTTTGTTTTTTTTTTTAAGTGGAAAAGTATAATCTGTGCTTAGTCGATGGGAAACTGCAGCACCTCACAGTAATTTTCGATGCATGCAACATTATGTACAACTTGTGCGAATATTTTCATTTTAGAAGCATGTGAATTTATAAAGCACCTAGCAATAAATGTTGCTTAGCAAAAGACCTTTCTCATGCATTGCACAGCTAACTATGTTTTTTTCTCCATTTTGACTTAAATTATTCTGATGTGTTGCCTGACTGTTAAGGACATGGTGGTAGAGATCAATTTCATTGCTATTTATGCAGCTCTCAGGGGATATTTAGGTCCTGTTTCATCCTGGGGCCTCAGAGCTTCCCCCTCATTTCCTAAGTAAGGGATACAAGAAAGAGCTAGCTGTGTATATAGTTTTAACCACATTTCTCATTGTTGATTCATCAAATCTTAAAGTGATTACAGAATGATACTGGGATAAATATGGGTAAAATTAGAGTTATGTTCTGCATTCTGTAAATTTCAAAATCTCAGATTTGATGGTTGGCTGGTTGTGGGTTTTTGTTTTTTTGTTTTTTGGTTTTTTTTCGTTGGTTAGTTGGTTGGGGTTTTTTTGTTGAATGTGTTTCCCCTTTAAACAAGCTCAGAAAGTTACATGGTTCAAAGATTGTGTGAAAGTATTAATTTTAGAGGTGGTTGAGTTGTTTATTTTTGGGCATTTGGGAATGAGGCAAGCTCCAGTATCATATATTCCTATTGCATGGATGTTCCCTAAGTTTCCATTGGCTTGGGAAGGTGACTTTAACACGCTGTTGTAGCAGAGTGAGAGCAGTAATTTAGATTGACACGTTAAAAAGCTTGTCACCAGGACTGCACAGAGGCACAGCAGGAACAGGAGGGATTCAGTCTCATCAGAGGAAGCAGCCCCTGGTTCTGTCACTGGAGAGCCACCAGCCCCACGGCCCAGGTGTGACGTGAGCAAGAAAAGTCACCAGGAAGGCTGTCTCAAGCAGCTCACAAGATTGAGGGGGCTAACTGCCTAGAAAATAAGGGACATATTATGGGGTTCAGGAGCCAAGTATCTTGTGACTGTACAGAATTTATGGGGTGCTCAAGGGTGAGTCTAAAGGAAGGAAACAAGTACAGGAAAATAAAAGGATAAGATAAGAAGCCTGCTCAGTTGGAAACAAGTGGCTGGTCAGCATGTTTGACTGTTCCCTGCCTTTGCTCATTAAGCTGCACTTCCAGCTGTTTTCCTGGACAAGAGGACTTTGTGCTGCATTTATGTGTGCATACTGAGCTCTAAGTGGCAGCGATTGGAGACACACAGTAAGTAGCACATACAATAAGTAGGGACTTGTGTCTGATGTGCCAGCAACTGGAGACACTGGAGTGAGTGAGGGTCTAAATGCCAGCAGCTGGAGTGGAGACCATAAGTCACAGAGGCTGGTGTGTTGGGAGTGCTCATAATGGGGACACTGGGGTGCAAGGGTATTGTCTTGGCAAGTATGCCAGTGTGTGATTGCTAGTGAATGTCACTCAGGGCTACCTAGTGAGTGGAATTAAGAGGCTTGGGAGCCAGGTTTTGAGGCAACTGAAAGTGTGGGACAAGTGCTAGTAAGATCAAATAATCTTCAATTTGAGAACAGAGTAGGGCTCTGGGGACGCTGAGGATCTAGGGTTGGTTCCTGAATAGATTGAGGGTCTGAGGTCAGTTACTGGAGGTATCCACCTTGTACGTATGTGTGTATTACCCACTAACAAACTTTTGTGCTTGTCAGCTAAGGCGATGAGCAGCACAAGGCCAGACCATGACTGTGTTTGCATGAACACCTCTTTTAGCTGTGTTGATCTGTGTGGTCAGCCATGTGTATATCCATCTTTGCATGCATAACTATGGGAATACATCCTCAGCCTGGCTGGACCTGGGGACATGGAGTTGCAGCAGCCTTGTCTTCAGTGGGCTGCCAGGTTCAGCAGTTTTTCTGTAAGCTTGAAGATGTAGAAACCATGGATTCACAAAACTTAAATTTGGAGCCAAATCTAAAATGACTGTTATGTTGTGACAGAATTAAGTTTTCTGTCCAGTTTACTGTTGGAGTTTATAAACATATAGATACACACTCACACACATTTGTAGTTATCCAGTCTGTTGGTATAAAATTGATAGAATGATAAGCAGATTATTTTAGATTGAAAACTGTAACTAGAGGCATTTCATATTAATATAAAGCGCAACTACCTACCTACTCTGAGAAATCCTCTTTGTGTGTGGAGTACTGCCAAATCAGCTTCTGACTGACAGAGCATCTAATGTGATGAATGCACTTTTTTATTTTTTAGCATTTCCAATACATTTAATTTTTTTCTAAAGAATCCCATTTAACTTAATTCCATGGTTAAATAAGCTGCAGCTATTTTCAGTTGGTTTTCTTTTTTTTTCTCTCCAAGCAAGAGTAATGAGTTGTTAGAGCAGATAACTGAAATCATATGGCAGAGAGACATCTAATATTGAAAAGTAGAACAATGGAGAAAGTGCTGTAGCTACACTGTGTGCATGCATGGGTTTTTATTTTTTTCCTCCTTTTAATATGCTGAAGGAAGGCATTGTTTTATTGTGGCCATCTCCCTTTGTGTATTGCAAATTTTGAGGGGACCTTGTGGAAAGCAAACCCAAAAAACTAATAATTTTATTACAATGGATCTTTTGCATTCTCAAAGGCTGCTCAAAATCCTCGTGTTTTCTTCTCAATTTAGTGCATTAAAGAATAGAAGTAAAGCTGGAAACCAAGTAATTTTTTCAAGGCCTGGATCACAGATTCTACAGTCAATTTTATGCTTTGAGATGTGCTGTCTAAAGGCAATCATTCATCTCCACCAAGATGTAGCACTAAAGTGAGGGAAGACAATATGCGATTAACAAATTGTATAATGTGTTTTCAGAGCTCCTTATCAATCACAGTTATAATCATGTGAATTTTATACAGCCTTTACATTTCTTGATTTTTATTTTGTGCGTCAAGCTGTGGTTTCAGTTTTATTTCTTTTTCATAGCAGTGCAGAAAGAAAAGCATTATCACGTTGGAGCCACTTCACTCTCAAATGATCTTAAATCTGCACGTATGCAGTAAATCTGATGGATTTCTGAAAGTGCCAGCCTAGCAACG